TTGTTTCCACATATACCACAGGAGTATGGATATCCTTCAGTTTTCTGAGATTTTCAACCTGGCTGCAACAGAATTATTCTTCTGGAATGCACTCTGTGTGGCAGTAGTTGGAACACGTAGGCTCCTTACATCTAAGAAGTATTTTGTCCCTTGTAGTATACCCACAAACACTGCAGTAACTACTGGAACAGTAGCCAGATAGCGAAGATATTCTTATGCTATTTTGCGATGTGAAGTCATCACAGAGGAGGCATTGTAGGTTTACATTGAAATTCACAGTGAAGTTCACAGGAGGGAGAGGGTGGGTGGTGGTATTGTGGGGGTGTTTATAATTGGGTGGGTAGTGAGGGAGGGTGAGGGCAGGTAGTGGGCAGGCAAGCTGAAGTGTTGCCTTCTCACTATCATTTAATAAGCACTGTTTATGTTATCCATGTTTTCACTATAGGAAAATGTTACACAAATCACTCTGTTGCATTGTACAACTCACTCACTCTCTCAGTCTCTTTCTCTCTTTAACAAGGAAAGATTTCAAAACACATTTATTAATACTTGTACTTTAGTATAATTGCATTTAAATTTTAAATCTTAATTAGGTAAGTTTTCATTCATTATTATATAATGCCAGTAGTACTGAATTCATTACTATAACATAATGACAACTCTTGGGCTCTTGGCCATTTTTCTGATTAATTTTTGGGGAGTCTTAATCTCTACAAGCTAAAGAACCAACAAATACTTTTTTTATTATTATTAACACATCGGCTGATTCCCACCAAGGCAGGGTGGCCCGAAAAAGAAAAACTTTCATCATCATTCACTCCATCACTGTCTTGCCAGAGGGGTGCTTTACATTACAGTTATAAAACTGCAACATTAAAACCCCTTCTTCAGAGTGCAGACACTGTACTTCTCATCTCCAGGACTCAAGTCCGGCCTGCCGGTTTCCCTGAATCCCTTCATAAATGTTACTTTGCTCACACTCCAACAGCACATAAAGTATTAAAAACCATTTGTCTCCATTCACTCCTATCAAATATGCTCACTCATGCTTGCTGGAAGTCCAGGCCCCTCTCACACAAAGCTTCCTTTACCCCCTCCCTCCAGCCTTTCCAAGGACGACCCCTACCCCGCCTTCCCTCCATAATAGATTTATACACTCTCGAAGTCATTCTGTTTCGTTCCATTCTCTCTACAACCTCAACAATCCTTCCTCAGCCCTCTGGACAACAGTTTTGGCAATCCCACACCTTCTAACTTACAGAAATATTGTGCAAATCACAAATGAGATCTACAGTGTTGTCATGTTTGGAACAGGAATGAGAATCTATTAAAATGCTGGTACATTATAAAAAGAGTATTGTAGCAGTATTAAAAACATGGATGGGCAGAAATAGTTAAACTACAGACCAGCATATATGATGTATAAATCTTGTCATTCCATCCTCTTTACGGCAAACAATAGGGCACTGTTGTAAAAGCAGTCAAATAGGTGACTGTTGATGGAGTCATGAGCAGTTGAAAATATGACTGTTTTACATGAGCTGCACACTATGGGTGTTCATTTTCTATTCATACAGCAGATTTTTTCTAGTCTTTTTATTGTATAATTATAGTTTTTCTACTATAACTGAACATAGCGCCACCCAATCCATCCCAAGCTAACTTAAAAATGGGCTGCAAATCCTATGTGAAAGTGTGACACAGTTATTAAGAGGATGAGTTGACCTTGTAAAGTGGTAGAGAAGATTATAAAGAAACATTTGATAAACCTCCCTGTAGGGAGTAGGATTCACTGCACACTAACAACACTGGCTCAGGTAAGAGAACTCATGCTTCACTCTTACTTGTATTCTGTGATAGGATCTCTTCTTCATGATACATGAAGTTTGTTTACAAGTTCACTTCTCCCGGTGACTGCACTGTGATAGGATGATGGAAATTTTTTTTTACTACTGACTATATTAGTTGTAATTTGGCACCAATTACATATATGATCAGTATTATTAATAATGCTAATATGGATAATTGTCCTATCACTTAAGAAATTCAGTTTTAATTAGTTTGGTTTTGCAGGTTTAGTAATTTAGAATATTAGAAGGTAGGAGTACTGTCCTAGATAGTAGGTTGGAAGACAGCAACTGCCCAGGGAGGTACTACCATCCTGCCAAGTGAGTGTAAAACAAAAGCCTGAAATTGTTTTACATGATGGTAGGATTGCTGGTGTCTTTTTTTCTGTCTCAGACACATGCAAGATTTCAGGTACATCTTGCTACTTCTACTTACACTTAGGTCACACTACACATGCATGTACAATCATATATATACACACCTCTCTGGGTTTTCTTCTATTTTCTTACTAGTTCTTGTTCATTTCCTCTTATCTCCTTGGGGAGGTGGAACAGAATTCTTCCTCCTTAAGCCATGTGTGTTGTAAGAGGCAACTAACATGTCAGGAGCAATGTGCTAATAACCCTCTTCTCCTGTTTTCATTACTAAAGTTTAAAAGAAAAACTTTTTTTCTTTTTGGGCCACTCTGCTTTGGTGGGATACTGCCGGTGCATTGAAAGAAAGAAAGAAAGAAAGGAGTATTATACATATTATTCTGGAGGCTTAAGACCTGAGGGATTTACTCTTCATAAGTGGTTTTTGTAGATTTTTATTATTATTTTTTAAATAATTCTCTTCATTATGTTGGTTCCATTTGTTACTAAAGCCTTACAATTGTTTGTAACAAATAGTATAAATAAAATGTATACTGTCCTTCATTATTCATAGACACCTTTTTGTGTTATAAATTTGTACACTGCATCTTTTTTGTAGATTGTAGTTCCTTTTTCCTTTATTATTAGGTCTACGGTTATGAATCGCTGTGTAGCCATGTATGCTAAATATAGTTATTATTGTATGTTGCACAAGATCTCTTAGAACTAGAAAGGAGAAATTTGTATTTAGAGATTCTAACAGGGCAGAGATATCATCATTGTGTTTGCTTCATTCAGGGTCTGGCATTAAGGGTTCAGTACATTAACACTAAGGGTAGTTTCAGTGACACTTACAGTACTGAATAATACAGTGAACATTTTCATTAATGGACTAATAGGAAGAACAGTTGTATGTTATTTGCTGATTGTCCACAACTTCTAGTTTGCAAAATTAATTTTTCATGGTGGTCTAGTTGTCTTGTGAACTAGCACACTTGGTCACTAATGCAGAAGACAACTAAACACTAAGAATATGGGTATTGTAACCTGTAGTTCTACAGTACATACCACACTCTATAGTAATTTTCTAGTACTGTATGTAATTTACAGTAACCTTATTTACCTTTTTTGTGGTGGAGAGAGGGTGAGTTGGTATGAGTGTTAGGGTAAGTGGGTGGAAGTGAAGAGGAATATGAGGTAGAGTGGAAGTGTATGTGTTAATGAAGGTGGCTTGGTGGGTATTAGAGGATGGCTTTCAGAAAGCACAAGTGAGCATGTGGGTAGTCGGTGGTAAATAGAGTGTGAATGTGGGTGGGTGTCAGAGGGTAAGTGGATTGATGAAAGAGGTGGGTACGAAAGAATATGTTTGTGTGAGTGTTCAGTGTGTGGAGACGGATGAATAAACATGTCTTGAACAGAAATTCCTCTCCTTCACTTACAACCCCCCCCCCACACACACACTCTCTCACACTCTCTCTCTTACCAACAATGCCCCTCCATCTGACCTACCCTACCACCCAGCAATTAACAGTGTAATTAATAAAGCTACAGTACAGATCCTCAACAATCACTGCAAAAATATGAGCTCTCTTTATAAACAGGGAGGGAGGCAGTGAGTAATGGAGAGGCTTTCCTCCTTGGCTTTTGGCAAACACCTCCCCCTCCATCCTTTCCTTCCCCTCTCCTCTGCTGGAGCTGGGTTCCTCATTGGCTCAGTGTCTATCCACCCACACACCCTCCTTTTCCCTTCCCCTTCCCTGTGACAACCACTAGTAACTAACACAGCATAAATAATAAATCTGTAGTTCTTCACCAATCTTTACCAAATAAATGTAAGATCTTTATACATGCATACAAGGTACATACACAAATTATGAGTACATTTAGTAAAAAATTAATCAAGATAAAAATATTATCCAAAGGACTGAGGAGGGGTTGTTGAAGTGGTTCGAATATTTAGAGAAAATGGAGAAAAATAGAATCACTTGGAGGGCATATAAATCTGTAGTGGAAGGAGGCCTTGTGTGTGAGGGGCCTAGACTTCCAGCAAGTGTGCATGAGCATGTTAGATAGAAGTGAGTGGAGTAATATGAAGGGATTCAGGAAAACTGGTTAGCCAGACTTGAGTCCTGGAGGTGGGAAGTACAGTGCCTGCACTCTGAAGTAAGGGTATTTTGAACTGTAATGTTGGCATGCCTCTGGCAAGACAGTGATGGAGTGAGTGATGATAGTGTTTCTTCTTTTTTTGTCCACCCTGCTTCAGTGGGAGACAGCCAATGTGTTAATAAAAAAAAATACAAATCATCAGTAATAAGAACATGTTAATGAGCAAAATTTGGAATTACAGACTTTTGTCCATTTTGTTCAATAACTAGCGTGTGGCCAATTTGCTAAAAATCCATTAATGAGAGGTTTTACTGTACTAGCAGGTTTTATCAGCTGGGCATTGTATGCTCTAGATATATGACAACAGGTAGAGTTCTGGAGGCTTATAACTGATTGAGGGGAAAAAAAAAAACAGATGTGACAGGCATAAGTATAAGAACTTAAGATTACTCATGGACCCACATACTGTCAATAGTGCATTGTCTAATACTAGCTGCTTCAGTTATACATGTCTCTATTCTGTTTAGAAGAAAAGAAATTAAATATTATCTTAGGTTATTTCACAAGTGGCAAAAGAATGTAATCTCCCTTTATGTCATAAATGTTTAAGATTAATTGTATAATAGCTAATATATTATCTTTTTTGTAGTGAAATGTAATGCACTGATTCTTTCATTTGTGCTTCTGTTTCAGGCAACTTTGTCAACATATCAAGATGATCTAGTTTTGATTCATGTTCGCAATGATTATGAATCCCTGCTAGAAGTTAAATTCAAGACAGAATTTTTAATGGTGCTCAACCGCAAGCTAATAGAGCGATGTAACAGAGAATTGCCGTTGAATTTTATCAATAGGTAAGGTTATCCACAAGGATGATAATTAGGTTTCTCAAACAGTTTCTCTCAGTATCCTCCTTATGTAAAGTTAAAAACAGACTGCACACTTGATATTATGTATACAGTAGGGCCCCACTTATATGGCAGGTTAGGTTCCAGGCTACCGCCAGAAAGCAAAATGCCATTTTTTCCACTTATAAATGCATATAAATACCAGAGTGCAAGTTTACACAAACATATATTAAGTTAGCAATAGAACTAGCCATTAAAAAAACAATAAAGAGTAAAATACACAGTACACTCATTACTTACCTTTAAATATTTGTAGTCTTAATGTAGGGTGAGTAAACAAGATAAAACGAATAAACAAAAGGTTAGGTAAAGTTCATCAGGAAACAGGACAAGCGTTTTCTGACGTGGGTCTTAGTCAGATGATGGCCCGCAGCTGGAGCTTTTGGTCATCTGACCAAGGCTTTCTGCTGGCTTACCAGTCCACCCCTTTAATAATTATGGTCATAGTTATAACCATTTTTTTTAGTAATAAATGAGAAAGAGAGAATAAGTAAATGAGAGAAGACAGAGATGCGGAGTCTGTAAACAAGCAGATGAACGCATCTGGTTATGGTTGATGCATGTTCATTTCCATATTTGTGAATCTTATACCATAATCCAAACACCTTACATTGTGCACAACATGACTCACGAAATCGTAATGAGACTCTCTGACCGCGGGTTCAATCCCGGCCAGGGTATGATTTGATTGTGCACAAGTTGTCTCCACATTGGTACAGTAGAACAAATAAAGAGCAACACTCCTATTCTCTCGTAACATTTTTTAGAAGGAATGATGCTCTGAGTGAAGGCATACAAAAGAATAATTTTCTAAAGTTAACCCCAGTAATACTGTTATGTACGCATTTTCTTTGGTGTTGAACTAGAAAAAGTGTTATTCTTTCCAACACTTCGACAAGATGACTGGAAAAACACCTCATATTTTATGTTAATTTACCCTACTGTGGGGTGTATTTTTTTATATTTTTTTTATTAACACATTGGTCATCTCCCACCAAGGCAGGGTGGCCCGAAAAAGAAAAACTTTCACCATCATTCACTTCATCACTGTCTTGCCAGAGATGCACTTACACTACAGATATAAAACCAACATTAACACCCCTCCTTCAGAGTGCAGGCACTGTGCTTCCCATCTCCAGGACTCAAGTCCAGCCTGCCAGTTTCCCTAAATCCCTTCATAAATGTTACCTTTCTCACACTCCAACAGCACCTCAAGTTCTAAAAGCCATTTGCCTCCATTTGCTCCTATCTAACATGCACACGCATGCTTGCTGGAAGCCCAAGTCCCTCTCACACAAAACCTCCTTTACTCCCTCCCTCCAGCCTTTCCTAGGCCGACCCCTACTCCTCCTCCTCTCCACTACAGATTTATATACTCACGAAGTCATTCTGTTTTGTTCCACCATCTCTACATGTTTGAACCACCTCAACAACCCCTCCTCAACCCTCTGAATAAAGATTTTGGTAATCCTGCACCTCCTCCTAATTTCCAAACTATGAATTCTCTGCATTATATTCACACCACCTCCTAATTTCCAAACTATGAACTCTCCACATTATATTCACACCACACATTGCCCTCAGACATGACATCTCCACAGCCTCCAGCCTTCTTTTTGCAACATTCACCACTCATGCTTCACACCCAAATAAGAGTGCTGGTATAACTATACTTTCATACATTCCCCTCTTTGCTTTCATGGACAAAGTTCTGTCTCCACAGACTCCTAAGTGCACCCCTCACCTTTTTCCCCTCATCAATTCTATGACTCACCTCATCCTTCATAGACCCATCTGCTGACACATCCACTCCCAAATACAGTGAATCCCTGACTTACGATATTAATCTATTCCAGAGAGCACATCGTAAGATGAAATTGTCGTAAGTCAAATTAATTTTCCCCACAAGAAATAATGGAAATCAAATTAATCCGTTTAAGACACGCAAAAGTATGAAAAAAAAAATTGTTACCACATGAAATATACATTTTCCTACACACAAAAAGAAGGATACATGCACAATATATATTGTGCATTTACTAGTGTACTAAATGAAGAATAAATGACACCTACCTTTATTGAAAATGTGGTGATGAGTGATGAGACACTGTTTGTGTCCTGGGAGTGCCTTTTCCTACCTGCATTTATCATTTCAATTTTAAACTCATCTGTCCCTGCTGCTTTTTTCCAATATGAATTCTATATAATACCATTCTTCATTTACTTTTTTATACTCATGCTTCTTCCTCCACATTAACTGATCTCATTTCTTCTTGTTCCATGCAAGAAATTTCTACCTCCATTACATCATCTGCATTCAACAGTTTCTAAAAATGTTCTCACCCATATCGTTTTTTTTGTTTTTTTTATATCGCAGATTTTAAACCTCTTCATGAAAAGTTGAGTTTATTTAACTAGACTTAATACTGCATAGTAACATATTAATGCTGTATTATCGCAGGAAAATGATAAACCTGTATGGGTCATACAGTGCTACATTTAGTAGAAAAACTTATTAATGCATTCTATGCTAGAGTCTCAGATGATTAAATAATCCCTAAATTTTCAGCTTTGACTTCAGGGTGAGAAAAACAGGTTGGGGTGGTGGTGGGGTGAGGAAGGTGGTGTTCAGCGAAGGTGCCTCGGACAAGCCACAACTTTTCCCCTCAGGGTCTACATTGACTGTTAAAGTTGCTCATGGGTTACCTAATACTTCACGTAAGTCTTACCTCAATCATTGTTAATTTTATGTTCTCCAAATTTGTTTAGTCTGAAAATTTTGTAATATATGTGAACTAGAATAGTTTAAATGTTGATCACTGATATCCCTTTTCAAGGTAAAAAAAATGTAGATTAAGAACAAAAAAAAGGCTGGCCCAGTTGGTTCTTAGTTCACTTTATACTCAGATTCCAAATGTGCTATGGCCACCCTGTGGTCCAGAAGAATCAGGAGTGGTTAGCTCATCCTCATGTGCCACACATAGGTGCCCAAACCATGTTGGTGTCCTTGGAAAACATAAACCTGCACACCCCTTAGCTGCTCTTCGAAGACAGCCCAAATGGTGGATCTGGACAAATTACCCATCTTTCTTCTGGACTAATCTCTGGACTAACCAGTGTTTTAACACACTTTAGTCACCCTGGGTATGGTGGCCACAACTTAAGTTATAAAACTCACCCCTGGGGACACACAATGCCCCCCAAAAAAATAAGAGAGAAGGACCCAGAGGTCCTACCAGCTTGAAATCAACAAAAAGAGTGAGGGAGAGGGAGGGGCCTAGCTAAGCTCCTCCAACACCCACCAAACAACAAAAAACTGTTGCCAAGCACAATTCTATAGTTACCACAATTCTGCCACACAAAAGCTAGCAGTGTCCCTCAGAATACGGCTAGTAATAAAAAAAAGTATATTTCTTTAGCCTGAAGGTGGTTAGCAAGACTACTAGAAATGTTACATATTTCCCAGCACCATAACTACTCTTCACTTTACTGTTATTTACAACAAGGTGACATACTACATGGCAATCTACAAATTTGTGTGGCTCCACTGAACCTTCCCAGATTACACTTGCACTTACACCCTATACCATATAAAACCCTGAAAGGAACAATGCAATCTGTTCCAGTAGAGTTTTTTTTTTTTTTTTTTTTTTTTTTAGAAAGCATTTTAACCATACCCACATAATACACATTACAATGCAAGAATTGCACACAATGCCCACTGTGAAAGCCTGCACCGACAGGCCTGTGCCTCTGCTGTGGTAATCCAGCAAGCAACTGGTACTCCAGGATGGCATCTTCCTGATCAGGAGACGAGAGTAGAGCCAAACCCAGAGCAGTCAGGTGTACACCAGGCAGGAAACTTCACAAAACATGTACTGAAATAGGCTGAAGAGGAACAGGTTTAATGCTTTGATTAGGCTTCCCTATAATTTGGCAGACATGACAGATCTTTATGTAATCTCCTACCATCTCCCACAGCCGAGGCCAGAAGTGCCTGGAAACCCTGGATACTGTTTTAGCAATACTTAGGTGTCCACCTAGAGGTGTGTCATGCACTAAGCTAAGAACATGGTTTCTATAAGGCTCAGGCACCACGACCTGGTGACAAAAACTTGGCTTTCCTTCTACTGGTACTGCAACCGAAGGTACCTTCTTCATTAGTATACCTTTCCTGAAATAGAAGCATTTACTTAAATGTAAAGATTCCTCCTCAGTTACAGCTGAGGCTCTGATCAACTTAAGTGTGTCATCACACCCCTGTGCAGCAATTAGCTGCATCATAGTAGGCCCAATCTCCCTCACGCTACTTCCCTGATCCCTGCACTGATTAGGCTTGACTCGGGTTGTGGTATCCTTTTCTTCAGTTGACTACAGTTCAACATCAGAAAATAGAGTTTCCAAACCTAAGTCCTCACCATCCTTATGAGAAATATAAGGATTACCCTTGGTAGCCTTGTCACAAGACATACTTCTTGTGATGGCACCAACAGGAAAAAGGTCTGGCAGGGTCTCCCTAGCCTTCTTCTCCCAAACTTTGGGGTCTGGTTCCCCCCATACTAGTGGTTCCTTACTGTTTAACAGACCTATAATGTTGTTCCCCAATAAGAGGTTAACCCCTTCGAAGGGAATTTCATCTGAAATACCTACAGGAAGATAGCCAACTTGGTATGCAGATTCTACCTATAATTTGTGTACAGGTGTTCTTATGGGTGAGCCTATAATACCCTTCAATAATATATCTACTCCAGTATAGGTATCCTTAGACACTGGCAGCACTCCAGCATGTAGCAAGGAGTAGGTGCTACATTCATCTCTCAAGGACAGTATGTTCTCAACCCTACCCACACCCTTATGCAAGGCAACTGTGGACTTACTAGAAAATACCTGTATCCTGGTATCTAGATCCAAAGGTTCCTCCTCACCTTGCTTTGAAGACCTAATACAGGTGACTGGGTGTGTCTGCAGTTAGGGTCCTCTGGGGTGGTTCCTCCCTTTCCTGATCTCGCCATCTTGACCAGCAAAACTTTTGTGTGTGTCCAGTTTTGTTACAGTAGTAACAAGCATAACTCTTAAAGGTATTATTACCATTTAGTGTAGGACTGGTACTCTTTACCTGAGGACCTGAAACATTATCTGATAATCTAGGTAAACTTTGAGCTCCAGCTGACTTACCTTTTCCTTCTATTTTAGAGGGTGCTTCAGTCTTCATTTGTTCCCACTTACCTTTATGACCATAGGACTTTGAATAAGGCTTAGAACGAGTGTGGAAATTTTCAGAAGGAGCATGACTGTTTTTACTTACCAGCTTCCTGCGAGCCAAGCATCTGTCCCCCAGATCCAGCGCTTCTGAAAGATTATCTGAGTTTTTGTCCTCCAAATATTCTCTGAGGTCAACAGGGATTGTATTATACAATTCCTTATGAACCATCAGATCTACTAATTTGTCATAGTCTTTATTAACTCCTTTAGAACAAACCCATTTCTTAAAAAGAAACAGTTTCTCATTCCCAAACTCAGTTAAGGTCTGCCCATCCTGAAATTTTTGATTTCTGAACTTTTGTCTATATTTCTCAGGTATCATTTGGTATGTAAGCAATACTTCCTCCTTAATTTTATCATAGTCAGAAAAATTTTTCCCCTCCAGAGTCTCTACTCTCTGGAATCCTTTACCCACAAGTTGTGTGCAAACTAGGGTAGCGTAGCACACTTCTCTTTGGGCCATCCTTGCTCCAAAGCAGTCTTCTCAAAAAATGAAAAATATCTATCTGGGTCACTTTCTGTAAACTTAGGGACAAAATTTGCAGCTTTATTCATGTTAAAATACTGCTCAGGCTTTTGTTCTGAACCTCCTAACTTTTGACGTTCTTCCTTCTTAGTTTTCATTAATTTCATTTCAGCCTCTAGCACAGCTAATTTAAGTCTCATCCTCTCCATTTCCATATCACCTGGAGTAGGTGATCCCTCATGTTCACTGTTAACAGGCATGTTTACTGATGAATTATTACCTTCCTCTCTGAAGCCTGAAAAGTTTAAAGACTCAACTTCTGACATAGTTATTATCTTTAAACACTTGCTTCCCTCTTACAGTATCAGTGGACAAAGTTTTCCCACAGGCAAATAAAATAACACAAGTTGAATGTAAAATTTGCACATAGCACTTACCATAACCACAACGAAAATGTGTTCCTCATCCTTTCTCCCACCTTAGGAGAAAAACAACCTGTAAACTAATATATGAAAACAACACTTCCACTGAAACCACCTTGGTAAATCTTCTACCAGAAATATGCAACTGTTATTACCCCATACCAGCACATATAGTTCAAAGAATGTTTTGAGTTATTTTAGCAGTCAAAAAACTCTCTTGGTCAAGCTCCCATGTTATGTTGTTGTCCTTTATTACTTTGATAGTAAGGTTCTCACTACATATTCTAGTGTGGGGTAGCTTTTACATAAAGGCCTTAGTAGTCTAGGGTAATACATTCATGATTGATTATCCTCAGTCTCTGAAATCCTTTCACCAGCCCTCTTCACAGGTTATTTAAACTACTTCTATATAAAAAAAATATAACTATTCTAAATAGATATGTATAGAATATACAATTACAGCATTCACATATTCAAAACATAATCCTGCACACCCCTTAGCTGCTCTTCTAATACAGCCCAAATGGTGGATCTGGACAAATTGCCCTTCTTCCTTCTGGACTAATCTCTGGACTAACCTCTGGACTAACCAGTGTTTTGACACACTTTAGTCACCCTGGGTACGGTAGCCACAACTTAAGTTATAAAACTCACCCCTGGGGGCACACATAATGCCCCAAAAAAATAAAAGAGAAGGACCCAGAGGTCCTACCAGCTTGAAGTCAACAAAAAGAGAGAGAGGGAGAGGGAGGAGCCTAGCTAAGCTCCTCCCACACCCACCAAACAACAAAAGATAAGATAAGATTTCGTTCGGATTTTTAACCCCGGAGGGTTAGCCACCCAGGATAACCCAAGAAAGTCAGTGCGTCATCGAGGACTGTCTAACTTATTTCCATTGGGGTCCTTAATCTTGTCCCCCAGGATGCGACCCACACCAGTCGACTAACACCCAGGTACCTATTTGCTGCTAGGTGAACAGGACAATAGGTGTAAGGAAACGTGTCGGATTTCCACCCGCCGGGAATCGAACCCGGGCCCTCCGTGTGTGAAGCGGGAGCTTTAGCCACCAGGCCACCGGACTGTTGCCAAGCACAATTCTCTAGTTACCAGAATTCTACCACACCTTATTTTACTTTTACAAAAAGAAATACAACTTCATAAACTACTTATTTAAATTGTGTGTGTGTGTGTGTGTCTGTAGTATAACTTATTATATTGAGAAAAACAGGCTTGACTTAGATGCCTTACAGCCATAAGAGTGATCTGCCCTTATGACATTTAGAGCTGAGTCCCCATCAATTCAATATACTAATTAGGTATTCCAGAGTAACTGTTACACATCAGTATGTGTTGGGTCCCATAATCCCATAAGTGTCCTTGGAAGAATGAACTGGCAGATGTTGAGGCAAAGGCTGCTGTAGCAAGCACACACTAGAGTAGACTTGCCTCACAGTGACTTTATGAGTCATATCCACAGATAGGTCCCTGGGAAGTAGTGGGCCTGGTGGGCCCTGACGACTGACAAGTTGTATAGGGTTTAGTAGGACATTGGTGTTTAGCCCCTTCAA